GTTAACTCACATACTATAATTCAGCTCAATATGTGTTTAGAAAAAAAGTCCGTAGTACTGTTCGTTGTGGAATGACGGAATGAAGGAATGACAGAATGACGGAACGACGGATTGGCGGATTGGCGTATAAGGGTAACACTATATGGTCTCGACCACTTTGTGGCGGGGCCATAAAACAAATATAATAAACAGCCACCAACAACAACCACAGAACTACAGGCACCTGACTTTGGGACAGGCCCATATAGAATGTGGCGGGACTAAACATGTTTGCAAGCTCTCAACCCACCACTTACCTGCGAAAGTGGTGTAATAGCACAACATTAGAACAAACTATAAAAGTCAGTTGAAAAGGGCTTAACTCATCAGATCGATAAACAGCATAAAACAACTAACAAAAACACTAAAGACACAAAGTACCGATCTGAGAATATTCGCAGTTACTCAAAGCTAGTACAAAGCCAATAACAACTAATAAAAAAAATCATGTATCTAAGCTTAAAATACCAGTCAGCACACTTCCAATATCCAATGGATTTAGTGTAAATACGTCATTAACAGTCAGAAAAAAACATGATCTTGTACAATGCCAAAATATAAGTATCGACAGAATGTAGAAACGTGAATGTTCATGGGTGTAAAGCAATACTATTTGGTTTGGTTTTAATTTGCTAATAACAAAATCTATATTTATACCGATAAAACAATATTCAAGGATCTAATTAAAGTGTTAAATTGGTAACCTTTAGAATAAGTAGGATCGATAAGTTTACCCGGATCGTTTCTAAATTTACGGTCGCTCCGATAAACATCACCGTACAAATTAGGATGTGGTATCTTGTTTGTAATAAGTTTTCTACAAGTACAGCCAAACTTCAAAACCAAATCTTTATACCTATGAAAGAATTTAGATTTGATATTACAATTCATTATTGTACTATTTGTGTTGTAAAGAACGAAAATATGGCTTAATTTCTCTCGCTAAAATAGGCATTGATGATTTTACTTTTTAGCTAAATGGGCTAATTTTTCGGCGCTTAAACGTCCGATTTTTTCGCTAAAATGTCATAACAATTCGCTAAAATACCGTTCCCGGATGAGAACATTTATAATTTTACTTTCCAACTTAAATGGGTTATGTTTTGGCACTAAAATGACTGATTTTTTTCTTTTCAAATGTCCAATCAATTCACTGAAATATCCTCCACAGGATCAGATATCCCATTTGTTTTAAGATTTACAAGATTACAAGTTCTACTAAGTTAAAACCTTCAAACCCAAATATTTGTACTTATGAAAGTATTAAGTAAAGGTTTTATATAATTTGTGGTCACGAAATGCCTGATTTATAATTCATCAGTTACATATATATTACGTTCACTGAAATCTAAAACATTACAACAGACACAGGCATAGCGAAGGAGTTGGGAAACATACACACCGTAAGGAGGGACCAAAGGAAAGTCCCCGTCTTAAAGAGGGAAATTCACCATAGGGAACAAAAAATTTTCTCATTTGTCTTTAATTTAATTATACAGTTTCTCATGTGAAACTGGAACATCCAAATCAGGAAAAGGTAACTATAGCTGTTAATAATATATTTTAAGTAATTCCTTGGAATAAATTTCCGCAGTTATTATAATTAGAAAATTCTTGATAATATAAAGCAAACTAAATAGGATTTACCCTAATATTTGTATGACATTATGTGCTGAATATCACATAAAGGACAGTTATCTGATATGACTTTTAAGATGATTGAATATATTCTCAAAAAGACTCAAAAACCTTGTCTGGTCTTTAAAGCAGACGGGAATATTGAAGTTAAGCAAATATACAAGTTGTTATCAATGCCTTTTATCCATTATCGTTAAACCAGGTTAATATGCGCTCCCTCTCCTCTTTTGCTTATTTGGTTGCAGTTGAAATGCCAAAAATTCTTCGGCTTTTAGAAATATACTAAATATTTATTGAAATAATGTTTATCTGTTTAAAAGGATACAGATCAGGTACATATAAATAGTGATCATCAACGACAATGAAAGATCAATGATGATATAATATTTGATTTCAGTATTTGTTTTTAATGCATTTTTTCAATTGCATTTATTAAAAACTCCATTAGTCAGTTTTCAGTATACAATTCAGCTTCTTTACTCCTGAAATGCTGTGTATCACGATTTTGTGACTGTTTATTTTACCAAAATATTCAAACGTTGCATACCTAATACATTATACAATTATTGACTTTTGATGAGGTTGATACAATGATTTATCAACCCCAGAGATATGATACTCACCGAGGTCAACGGCCGAGGGTGAATGTCATATCTCTGGGGTTGATAAATCATTGTATCAACTGAAATCAAAAGTCAACAATTGTTTTATAATATAACTTTTAACCTTCTCCAAATTTCTAGTATTTGCTCAAGATACTTTTAAAACTGCTCCCTGTTTTTATACTGAACTTATCGTCTGCTTTTGCAGTTGCTAATTTTCATAAGTTAAAATATTCGTTAAAGTTGACTGTAAATTTACACCGAAAACAAAAAGAAGCCGGAGAAAAAATACACCGAAAGCAAGAAGAAAAAGAAAAAACGGGAATTTACTTGACGTCATAAACCCTCATCATTCACGTTGCCTTGAAATATCTATATTTAGTTACACGGACACTGTTCCAAATCTTATATTAACCTCTCGTATATTTGCCGCGATGAATATAATGTTTTTATCAAAGAGGATTTCCTATGCTTTTAGCCAATGAGAAAACAGAAAATTTATAGTCATATAATTAAAAAGAATAACACACACCCTATAACCAACTGTCACTTCGGAAGGATCTGTTTTCTCGGTTGCCATCAATACAATGAAATTTTACAATCAAGTACAACAGATTTTGATCTGTGTTACCTATTACATCTGCAGTACCGATAGCCGGTACTAGGGTGTGTAACAGGAATCACACAGTTAACTCGACATTACAACTGCCTACATCAACCACCTGTGTTACCTATTACATCTGTAGTACCGATAGACGGTACTAGGGTGTGTAAAAGGAATCACACAAATTACTAGACATTACAACAGCCTACATAAACCACCTGTGCTACCTATTACATCTGTAGTACCAATAGCCGGTAACAGGAATCACACAAATTACTCGACATTACAACAGCCTACATCAACCACCAGGCTATGTTACCTATTACATCTGTAGGACCGATAGCCGGTACTAGGGTGTGTAACAGGAATCACGCAAATTACTCGACATAACAACAGCCTACACCCGACTCTTTAAAAAAAAAAACCCTCCCAAAATAGACGAAAAATCAAAATACCAACAACATCGAACAACACATGGTCCAGATTACCTGACTTGGTGCAGTCACACAATGTTATGAGTTAAACCAGTTTTACGTGAGCACAAAACAACTCATTTGCCAATCTAGTAAACTAACATGTATTTTATACAATTTTTTCGGAGATGACGATACTTCAGTGTTCTTTTCATATGATTTACAAATAAGGAAAAATCTCCATTACGTTTTCATAAAATCAGCAGTCTAGATCATTCGCCTGCAATGGTGGTTCATTAGAACTTGTTTATAGAAGGCATCAGAAAAGACGGTGGGCTTGGTGCCGCCCGAGCCATCAGATACTTAATGCTTTATCCAGCTTTTTGCCTCCCCGAGATATTTGACTTGATTTCATAAAAAATGGTCAAACCTCAAAATTTAAAGCGCACTCTGCATAACTTATAATTGTGATTATTAATATCAAATTCATATTCTGATATTTGGCTTTTCGTCTCCTTTTTACTATTCATATATTTTATATATTTTTAGGTTCTATCTTTAATGTTTTTAATAGATTGTTTCTCTAGAATCTACATGTTAATGTTACATATGCTGACTTGCCGACAATGGTTTGGTTTTCAACTTCAAGTATATCACGAACCTGTTCATATTGTTTCAACAGCCAAGCTTATGTATTAGTTTGTCATGTCAATCGAGTTTGTGTTAGAGTTGACAGGAACTGTTTTCCTGGTCGAATAGCTATTCTCAACGGTGACTTGATCTTTATCTGTCATATCATAAACTCATCAAAGATACCAGGCTTATAATTGTGAACGCCAGGCGCAATCATTAGTTAATTTGCAGAATTACGCTTACTCGACGCACTGATGAACCAGTGGTACGTGATTTTATTTAGAATTGCCATCAAAATTCTGAAATCTGCGACTTACTAGTACCTGACAACTTTTGACCATGACAAGATTAAGGCATTGCGACCGACAGTTTACAAAAAAAAAGATCTACTTTGCATTTGGAAAGCCTTTAAGTTTAATAATGCTCACCTTGACAAGCTATTAATCTGCATAAAGTATCTTTCTATACGGTAGATTTATAAACCTTTGTATTTAAATGCCATGTGACATGTTTTCCCCGTCTTTTTGTTTTTTTGTCAGCCCGCAATATGAGACAGCTGCCCTCATGTCTCAATATAATTTAAGGCCCTCTCTGCTGATAAAGCACCTAATAGATGATCATCAGCTGACGATACGACACCTGAGGAGTAAATTGAATCGCCCCTTTTACCTCAATCTAATTAAAATATAGAACTCGGATTTCGTATGCAGTATAACGAAATCCGAGTTCTACATTTTAATTAGATTGCTTTTACCTAAAGAGAATTTTGAAAATGTATTTCGAAATATTTCTTGAGAAAGGAAGTTGATTAATCTAATAGACACTTCCACAACCGTTGTTAAATGATACATATTTTTTACAAAAAGAATTAACATATTAACATATATATATAGTCTTAACCTTAATTGTTTTGTCAGGAATAATTTTGAAAATATCCTTTCTTCTTATGAAATATTTTATGTAAAACTATAACTTAAAAGACAAAAAATGTATGTTCTGAAAACAAAATCGTATAAAAAATATGATTTATATAAATAAAATCAAATATTTGTACCCCCGGAGGTACCTCGTTGTTTATCTCAGGTAACAATTAATAATTTTGGCGGAGACAGTAGTGAAGTAAAATTTATCTAAAATGTTGTAGTCGGAAATACAATCCATTAACAGAAACGCTATGAAAAATCCACTTAAAGAGGACAAGAATTGGTAGACCATAAGTCCAACAGCAGTCCAACATGGTTCAAAACGATAGGTACGTATACGTAGGTTACTTGTTATATCATCATTGTTGATCAAGTTTCGAGCTGAATGGTTCAGCTGTGGCATTTGACAGCAATCTGGCAATGTGTATATATTCAATACATGTTCGCTATAAACAGAAACCACTTCAATTTCTTTAATTACGTATTTAATATGACATTTTTATTGTCAGATTGTTATCAGTCTATTACTGAGACAAATGATTCGAACCTGAAATACCGGAAGCCAGTATCGGTATTCCATTGCTTCTGTCCATTTCTAGTTAGACAAGATGGTGTAAATACTAGATTCAACTGTTAATTTTATTTGATTCTCTAAAGAATTCCATACTTTTTCGCTTATCTTCGTGTCATTTCAACAGTTTTATAGGTGCGGTAGCTATCAAATCCCCCCAGGTAAATACATGTAACGGGAGACAACTAATGTTTTTTACAGGTAAATGGGGCTCTAAAAAGGTACATTTAAATTTCAGGTTGATATCGTTACTTCGAAGGCTGATAATAATATTACTGACGACAATAACAGTAAATGGTAAGGACGTTTTAGTAGAACTGTGAGATAAATAAAGGAATGACTTAACTAATTCTTCAAAAAGAAGACTTGAATAGAATTTGATAATCCTCTGTTCAAGCCCAGTACCAAGCCCCTATTCCCCTATTTGTGTTAAAGTGCATCAATACCAGGAGTAGAATACCATTGGAATGATCAATGCACTTACACATCTATAACAAATGAATAAACAATAAAAACATAATCAATTTTAATTGTACATCTATGATTTTATTAAAAATTCTTCAACACCATGTCTAGAATGCTTTTTGAAATAACCAATGTAGTACATACAACCTGAGATGACTATAACTCATATACAATGAAGAACGGTTTTCGTCTACAGTCCTTGTTGTGTCATAACTATAAATATTTATTTATACATCTAGTTTTTACCATAATTATTACAAATCCTTGATATATCATATTATTTTTTGAGTCTTTGCTTTTGTCCCTTACCGTTCCACCGTGCTTGGCTGGATCGAGCCTAAGTACTCGCCCATTTCAGGAAAACACGTTTATAGGACAACAAAGAAACAATATATGAATCATGTATTATTACTATTTACATATAATACACAGTGCAATTATAGTTTAAGGAATATATACAAACAAAACAAAAAAAGAAAGCTAGAGATGTGTAGTTTGTTCCAGTATAATATAAAATAAAAAGAAATACTCATTAAAATGATTATTTGAATATATATTTTGATATTAGGATGGCGTGTTGTATTCAAAGTTTCCATGGGGAGATTGGGCAGTGGAAACTCAATGTACCAGCTATGGAATAGTTCAGATGTCGTGAATGATAATCCATCCGGATTCCACACAGCAAACCATACATATATGGCACCGTATCAACCTACGTACAAATCAAGTATTGTCAACCAGTGGACGAGTTATGACATTGAATATGTAAGATTTTAAATTAAGAAATGGATATATAATGCAGCGTTCAATTAATATCAGTCATGAGTAATAAAGGGGTTTCGTCGAACACACGACAGTAAATACCATATATTTAAAGTTTGTTTTGGCATTTCGTATTTATATACATATAAAAATAAGAAGATATGGTATGATTGCCAATGGCACAATTTTCCACCGGAGACCAAGTGACGTAGTAGTTAGCAACTATAGGCCATTGTACTGCTTTCAACATCAGCAAAACCCATACTGCATAGCAAGCTATAAAATGGTCCCAACATGACATGACAAACAACAATTCAAACGGGAAAATATGACTATATTTTCGTTATTATAGATGCAGACATTTTTTTCTTCTGAGCTCTCCTTTTTCGGCTATTGTCGTTCCTGTCGATATGTACACGAAGACCCTGCTCATGAATCTTGAATGTATTTCACGATATTTCTGGTTAAATTAACATATTTTGATATATGGAAAATGCATACACTTTAACACTAACCAAACGCATTTTTATTTTACTATGTAATATTCCTCTTTTACAACTTTAAATTAATACGTATAAGTGACCCCCCCCCCCCCAAAAAAAAAAAAAAAAAAAAAAAAACCAAACCCAAACAAACAAACAAACAAACAAAAAAACAAAAAACAAAACAAAAATAAACAAAATTCAAAAAATACAAATAAAAACATTTCAAGAAATCTGAATTTAAAGTATAATTATTTCTTTTCTCTCCACTTAACAACAATATATTTATTCTTCCCATTCAGACTCATTTTCAACAACTTCCGTCTCGCGGAAATTTTAAAGTTTTGAAAATTCACATTTTTGATATTGAAATGCAATTACCCTAGTTGCATGCGAAATGAGACATCTTACCTTAATATAACTTTTGTCTGAAATTGTAGTGGTCATTGTTTTTCGAAATAAACAGACCGTTTAAACGCGTTAAAAAGGAGATTCTTAAACACAATTTTAAATAAAAGAGAGGCGAAATATACCAAAGGGATGTTCAAACTCATAAGTCGAAAACAAACTAACAATGCCATGGCAAAACACGAAAAATTACGAAAAGACATACAACAGTACACAAAACAAAACACTACCTGGACTAGTGAATTAAAAAGACAGAAACATTTCGATATACATACTGAATATATTTGATTTTTGGATAGTGTCTTATTTTGCTTCTGTGGATCTACACTTTTGGTTTGATAGGCACATTTACTAAATTGTATTTTAATTTCTTGTGATGGGATCATGGACCATATAATCTAACATACCCAATAAAATCAGTAGTATCCACCAGCGTCGGTCTTTTTCACTCAATTTATCATGTGTATATATATACGTACGTGTTAATTTAATATCATTTATCAAATGAATTTGAAAAAATAGAAATGAAACTTTTCGTTATTGATCAATTTTGAAAAGGTATAAACCAATATGAAAGAGAGTATATATCTATTGCTGCATAGAAAATGCACCAAGTATTTTTCTTATCTTTTAAATTGGCACATGAGAGGAAATATTTTGCAGATGAAAAGCATACTAATTCTATACACGCAAAATATGTGGCAAAATCATGTCGGGGATGGATTGATGGAAATTACACATTATAATATTCTTATACCGTTTTAATACATGGATTCCATTGAATCTTACAAATATTTTCCTTTATCAACAGCTAATTACTAAAGTTGAATAAAAAAAATAGTCCGATTTGTAATATTAGACTAAATGTATATAATGCAATACATAAAAGAAGAATGTGTTCCTCTACACAGAATAAAACTTTGACTGTTTTATTTGTAGGTGAAACTGGGATTATACAGCAGTGGAAAAGAGGCTGTAGTGGTTGTTTTTAATGGAACAGAAACCAACAAAACAGCCTGGTTTAACAGTGAGCTTATATTACAATCAACATACCCTGATCTTTTCTCTTCAAGTAACTACCATTTTAGCTTAGAAGGGTAAGATTTTACTTTAATATAAGGACAAACTAACCATCATGTCATCCTAGTTAAACTGCTGGTATCTACTCTACGAAATTTCCTTTAAATATCGATTTATTTTTGTATATATACATTTTTTATTTTTGTATAGTAGATGCTTTTGATTGTATGTTGGATAGTTGTGTCATTAGTAATCCTGCTACATCTTTTTGTATATTTTTTCAGGACATACGGAACAGGACGGTTTCAAGCATTTAAGGCTGAATCATCGAACTGTGACAACGCTAACGGATGGTTCACAACAATAGACAAAGACATAACAAGTCATTGTGGAAAAAAAACGACTAATACACCATACTTCTTATACTCACCAAATCCCAACAGCATGATTTTAAAAGGTACAAAAACCGGACAAAAGTTACGATAGCAGTTGCACATTGCAAATACAAAGCTAAGAGTTAAATCTATGTTGATCTTATCAAGCCTCAAAAACGAAGTTCAAGTTATTACTTGCAAAAGTTGTCAGTCGGCATATATCAGTAGATGTTGAGACACTTGCAATCTAATTTATGGCGAACCTCCAGTCTAACTTATATGGGTTAAACCTCATCGTTGACTGTTTTATGAGTGTCCATGTCTACTGAAAAATCTTAAGTTAAAAGAGAAATTGCTAAAGGAAACATATGGGTCATAATAAGGGAGTGATTTACTTTTTAACTTAAGCTCAAGTTGTTTAAAAATACATTTTTTTCTAGCAGGATTTCAACGTAAATGATCTCCGAACACATACACACCTTTACATTTGATTGTTTTCTTTCTTTGATGGAAATGCATAGAGTTACTCAGCAATACATAGGATATAGGGTCGATTTCTGTATCAGCTCTCCGATGCCGTACTGCTGACACAGAATTGAACATAAAATGAGTAAATACTAAAGGTTTTTAAGACCTTTCAAAGTTAAAAAAAACTCACAACTGACATTGTTTTAGAAACCCCTGGTTAATGAAACCCCCATTATGTCCACTCATGCGAAACTACTGAATATATTTTAGTTTTAAGTTATGGTGTGACCCTCTCTGACAATACCTGCTTCAGTCCGTTTGGAGTTCCTGCGATTCCCTCAATCTATTTATATCTTGGATGTATATATTCAAAATTGAAATTTACAAGTTTTGAACATTGGTAAAACCATTGTTGCCTCTTATCAAATTTGTATTTTTGTTATAAATGGTATGATTTATTACTTTCCTTATATTTTCTAGATTTTGCAGTAGCTGACGCATTTGCTGTATTTGTAGGTATGTTCCTAAAAATAATGTTTGATAATGATTTTTAGCGTTTAAGCTACAATAAAATAAGTATAGTTGTAAAAAATAAGTGTTTTTTTTTCCCAAACATTTAGAATAAGGGAATAGTAAATTTAAAATCTTATTAGCAGTCACTTTAATTCAACTGTTGTGTCCCCCAAGTGTTACTACGGAATAGAAATATGATCACTTTGGTCTTCTACCGACCGGCAGTAAAAACCCTTGCCAAAGAGGGAGCGACCGGTTGGAATGGGGACATTAAGGGCATACGATACAATTTTGATCCCACGGTGATTTTTTTATGAAAGTTTGCATACAAGCTATTTTCACCTAGTCGATTCAAATATGTAATAAAAAATATACAAGCATGTACTACTTTTAGAGATAAATGGGGTCGAAATTTTAGACATTTACTGGACATTTCGGTTTCTTGGACATTTCTATCCTTTGGAAAGACATACCTAACTTTTTTGTTTCAAAAGATAAACGCAAGCGGTTTTTTGTAAACACATCTGGAATATCTTCTCTACTTAAAAAAGGGGGACGAAAGATACCAGAGGGACAGTCAAACTCATAGATCATAAACTCTACATAAGTGTGTTTTGTAACAATTTTTTGGAAATAATTTATTTTTATCACATTTTCATCTTTTTTAGTCAATATATTTATCTAATTTAAAAATTTTCATCTGCGATTTGTTCATCAAGCCAAATGTCATTTTTAAAAAGAGGGGTTCATGAACTCGTTTTCAAGTTAAATCAGTCTGAATGATAAACATAAAATGCATCTTTTCTCGATATACCACCGTTTGACGTCGCAAGTCCGGTGACTCGTGTAAAGAGAGTGCCACGTTAAGAACCCTTGCAACAGCTCTTTGAGGGGTCCGTAGGTGGCCTGTTGAACGTGGCCTGTTGTTCTGTTAAAAAGGCTGTCCGGTACTTCCTCCCGGACGGCCTCTTTTACAGAACCTATCTGTATTTATTGTTAATTCGTCCTGAACATGCATGAGATAATTGCCACTGGATGTAAAGCAAACATTAATCAATCAACTGTCTTGTAAGACATTTACTCGATCTCATTGGATTCGTACATGCAACCTGTAATGTTACTTCAGTTGGAGACCGATTGCGCATGTGCTCAGCATGTTCAGTTATTGAAGAGAATGTCAGCTAAAAAAGTGAAACTAAAAAAATGATTTCTGTGATACGACCTGCACAAATAAGTTAATCATTCTTATACAGGTAAAATGATTTATATTTTTTAGAATAGGATTTGAAGTATGATACTTTTGCACTTGCTTACCTGGCTATTTATATTCATATCGGGTTCATGTGCCCATCGGCAGTATTTGGAGGTCATGTCGATAGTAAATTAGATGGCCTCCAGTCCCAAATGTCGATATTATATTAATATAACGACATCGTGCATCGTTTATTGTTCCCTGTGGAACCTATGTAGTTTTGGCATAATATTTAGTATGTTGAAAATCAAGTTGTAGAGTTTAGGACAATTCAATTGACACTGTTTGAAAAATTTGGTATATAATGCCGCTTTGATATATTTTAAAGCGATTAGATTGTACATATAAAAATGATGATAATGGTCAAAGTTTATACCTTACCAAAAATAGGAAACGAGTTCATTTAAAGCAGATGCTGTGACAGAAATAAAAACAAAGATATTCATAATTAATGAAAATACTTGTATTTAGTTGCTTTGTACATTGTTCTGTAGATTAAAAAATACCAGGGTAAATAAAGTGCATATGCTGACATTGTACTAATTGTATCCGGCGTTTGTGGAAATTATGACATATCTTTTGTAGGTAGCACGGTAGTATTTGCATTCCAGAATTTAGGTTGCTCTTTTGTGTACCCTACTTAAGTCAATGTATCTGAACATTATGATTGGACAAAAAATACAGTCTCAACTGAACATACTTTCCCAAACTAAGGGATGAATCAGGTGTAGAAAAATATGAAATAATTTTACATACAGATGAAAATGAATTTTTGAGAATTTTTTTAAACTTTGTATTCACTGCACGATAAAAGACCTAAAAGCACTAGTGGCCTTAGGTTCTTAAAGATAGCAAAAAGAGTAAACGGTCATGATACATATTCAAATTCATTTCTGAATAGTAAAATGAAAGTACTTCAGTTATTTGTGAATGTAGAATTTTTAGCAGTGTTAGAAAGTAGTGAAAATTCTAAAAAGGCTACCATTATCCCTTATGGGCCAGGAAATACTACCGTGCCACCTGTAATTGCATCTAGCCTTTTTGTGTCAGATCACGTGATCAATTTATGTACGGATACCTTGCAATACATGGTTTAAATCATATGAAGAAAGATGCATATAATGTAAACAATATACAGACACCATCTATGGTCAGCTATGAATATCTACATACGGGTTTTCACAATATGCATGTACACTATGTACTAGCACTAAATCACAGAGAGTCTAGAAAGTTACGAACGAATCTTTATAGAGACTATCTAATATCTGAAGTTGTTAATATCTGAAATCTACATCTCTCTGTTACTGATAATCAACAAATACTGTTCTTGCGCTGTAATGCCCTTTTTTAGAAATATTATGTTCATAGTTCCGAAAAAGGCATTTAGTATTCAGTATTAAAATTGAAAGAATTAAATAAAATGGTTTATATTTTAAGATGACTGTGTAGTCAACTCTTGTCAGTTTGGAGGAACATGTACCGCACATATCAATGGATATAACTGCCAGTGTGTTGATCAAATCCATGGACAGTCGTGTCAATGTAAGTTACAAATTCATCCTTTAGCAGTCATTCAATCTCAGTTAAAAATGAACATTATCGTAGGAAAAAAAATTGAAGCAAAACTAAAAATGAGATATATTGCTTTGTTTTTGTCCATGCTTATGTTAAAAGTTGGAAGCAGATGATGGCTTTGAAAATCGTTAAATTTTATGTCTCAGATAGTGAGAGTGCCATACTCTCTGCAAGTTAAAGAAGCCTTCCAGGATTTCTCTTAGGGTTCTGTGGTTGGCCTGTCACACGAAAGCATTTCTGAACCTATCCAATATACTACTTTCAGTGACAGGATAGATATGTTGACATTCTTTCCGACCAACCTACTTTGCAGAACAGACGAATAAGACAATTAATTTAAAAACCATGATAGACTGACAAAAGTTATCAGAAAGATGTTTATTTACTGTTTAAAAATATACATCTTCATGTCATAGAACTGTTTAATATTATTTTATAATGAACAGCTCCCTATGCCAAATGCTCTCCAATTGATCTCTCAATATGTGATTCGACAATTGCAAATGTACAATATGTATAAAGGACAACAGTCAGGAATTACCCAACTATTGGGACACCACAGCAACCTCTGGACCAATTAACAACAATCATCTTAAGAAAGTAAACACACTGAGAATCATGAAGATCTGCATTGATATAAGCACAAACTATTGACTATAACAAATAAGATTTACCTTTGTGCAATAAATGTAAATTCATACATTTTAATGTTAATTTTGAATTACAGACCAGTGTCCCTGTTTATACCAAGGGAAATGTCATGAAATAAATAGCAGTCACATAAGTAGTGATGGTCGAGTCTTCATTGATGGTGAATTGATCAATAATGAGGCTATCCATTTGGATTCTGAAACAATGGTTGCATGTAAATGTCCACAAAATTACATAGGAGTCTACTGTAATACAAGTAAGTATTTATTCCTTATTGATTATAGATTTACAAAATAAGAGATCTATTTTTAAATGTAAAAAGACTAAAACTACCAGTAATGCAACACTGTGTGAATAAATATTTGGATTAAGACCGTCTTGTGTACTATGCTTTGTGAATTATAAAGGCTTTCAATATGTTTTTAAAAAATGCGTTTTTATCTAACGAATCATGACATTTAGATAAACTCATCATATATACCAGGATTAAAAGTTTGTACGACAGACGCTCGTTTCGTCTACAAAAGACTAATCAGTGACGCTCGAATAAAAAAATTTAAAAAGGCCAAATAAAGCACAAAGTTGAAGAGCATAGATGATAAAAATTTTCGAAAGGTTTTGCCTAATACAGCTTAGGTAATCTTAAGCTAGCATTAATAAGACATGAATCATCATACTTATATTTTTTTTTTATTAAAACACTGCATTAAGAATGATGTCATGATAATGTACTAATCATAAAGATTGAGATCAATGTTTTTGTTTACTTAGTAAGTTATTTTACAGCTACTTTACAATGTGCTTCATCCCCATGCTTGAATTATGGAGTCTGCGTAGAGGGACAAATGTCCTACACCTGTCAGTGTACTGAAGACTACACAGGTCAACGATGTCAAGGTAAATTGAATCTAGATAACAATAATGATAATAATGTGAACAACATTAAAACGTAAAAGAACAAAAATACCGAACTCCGAGAAAAATTCAAAACGGAAATTCCCTTATCAAATGGAAAAATCAAAAGCTCAAACACATCAAACGAATGGAAAACAACTGTCATATTCCTTACTTGGTACAGGCATTTCCTTATGTATAAATGGTGGATTAAACCATGTTTTATAGCTAGCTAAATCTCTAAACACGACTCCCACCAAAAACCAGGAGGGGGGTCTCAGGTGTTCCGGAAGGGTAAGCAGATCCTGCTCCATATGTGGCACTCATCGTCTTGCTCAACCCGATGTTGAGTCTAATTCGGTATGTCACACTCAGGAAAAGAGTTTATAATTGTGGTTACGACAATTGGAACATATCCGATGGTATCTGTGAAACAGATATTCCATAACGGTCAACCAACTGAAGATAGCGTCCGTAAAATTTTCAAAGGAATGATTTTGTGGGACTCGTCGTTTATAAGCTGATATGTTGATGACATTCAAATAAGACGGATTCGAACAACATAAGTTATAATGCAGAAGAAACATTAGGTCGATACCTTACTACATGATATGGAATTTAAGTAAATGAGCAGAAATATAACTTGAAAGATACAGGCTATATTTCATTTCAATTAATCAATCAGTCAACCAATCTTATCACTTTTCAGAGAGAACATAATAGTACTTGTTTTAAAGATGAAATAAAGATAAAAATGAAAATGAAAATGCCTATGCAAATACAAACAAGGAGCCCACTTTAAAATACCCCCCTCCAAAACCAACAATAAAAAATTTAGAAAGAAAAGTAATTCAGGTAATCACATTCTACTCACCCCTTTTAATCATATAGCTCCGTAGTATACGGAAGTATTTTGTATTACAAATGTATTTGATGAGTATTCAATCTCTTTTTACTCTTCTTAGACAATTACATGTGATATTTTAATGTTCACTACTCTGTAAATAATTGATAATGTTGAATAATGATTGTGTTTATGATTTTGTAGTTGCTAGACCTCTTCCCCCAGAAAAAGGTTTAAATATAGGTGCTAAAGTTGCGATTGGTCTTTGTATCCCACTGGTTGTAATAATTGGACTTGTGATAGCATATATAATTTACCTGTTCAAGAACCCAGGAGCGTATGGACATGAAGCAACTGTAAAGCAATATAGTAAGTCTTATACCTAAAATGTGTTGAAAAATAATATATGTAGAATGCTAAGAAATATACCATATTGTGTATGTTATTATAATTTGATACTTATCTGTTATTTTTACTTTATACAATGTCATTTTGATAAATACAGAATTAAATCGAATTAAGAACCATAACAGATTATTTTGTCAGTTAAATGGTAACATTATATGTTTACTGTACATGTGATGCTGATTATCTACTAACATTATATGTTTACTGTACACGTGATGTTGGTTATCTACTAACATTATATGTTTACTGTACACGTGATGCTGGTTATCTACTAACATTATATGTTTACTGTACACGTGATGCTGGTTATCTACTAACATTATATGTTTACTGTACACGTGATGCTGGTTATCTACTAGACTAAACTTCAAATAAGCTTTTACAATTATACAATTTAAGGAAGCAGAAACGAAATAGGAGAAAAACTATAAAAACACTAAAGGCAACATCAACATAGAGATGATATAAATTACTTTTATTTTTTTTTCTGCAGCTATTGCTCGAGAATTTGTCAGAAGAAGTATAAGACGTATGTCTGGAAGACGAGGTAAGAGTTCGGATGAAACGAAAGACACTGTAGCATTTTCACAAAAGGACACTGACGCTAGTGTTGGACAAGTTAATTTAGCTTTTGACGATGCTGGAAAAACTGGTTTTGATAGACAGAATTCAGAATACTACAATTTATCTGCAGGTGATAACGCTGTTGTGTCTGGACAGACTACTAAATATTCTGTTAATACTTCTCAATACGCACATCCTGACCAAAGAAAAACTTATAACTCTCCTGATAAAAGTTCACCTAGTGGCAATAAGAGTGACGCATTTTATAAGGAATATCGTCCTGCTCACTTACATGGCGGTGACGATGATCGCTACACACATCCTGGGCACAGATACGATGAATATAATAGCAAGGACAAAGAAATTTCACAGAATCCTGTACCACAGCCACGAAAACAAAGACAGACAGGTCGTCGTGGGCGCCACAATAATGATGAAACCGATGATCAACAAAGTCCATTGCCATCTTCGAATTATGAACCAGATACAAATAAAACGCAAAATGTTCCAAGGACCTATCAGCCTACAGATAGAGGTGGTTATGATGGTCAAAGCATGTCCATTGCACCTAGATATGACAATTCAACTAATAATACTGGTGAATTACAGTCTCCGAGATTTGAACCATCCCGTCCAAATGACAAATACAATTCACAAACACCCAAACGTCAACAGCAATACTCAGAGAACGAAGTACAGCTTTCTTCACGATATCTGCCACCAGCCCAAGACAGGTCTACAAATGATTCAATGCCGTACGCAAGAAATAACACAAGAAAGGTGATCGATGATACAAGACTTTCTCCAGGTTATCGACTGGATCAAAACATTCCGGAAAGATCATTTAATGATACCACACATTCTCCAAGTTATCAACATCCATCATACAACGACCAAAGACGTTCCCCAAATTATAGACATGGGGAAAGGCCTTCTGTTGAACCCAGTCAACCCCCTGCCTATAGACAGACATATGACCGACCGAATGATGATCCACGAATCTCACCAGGTTATGGTAACCCTGAGTCGAGACATAATCAAGGCTATAATAATCAAATCTCTCCAAGGAATAATTATGACAGTAATGATTCATATAACCAGCGTCGTGAACAAGCAGGGTTTCGTCCAATTCAAAGAGACGAAGGGATTGTTTTTACTTCATCAGAACCTATGGATGATGTAACTGTATAATCAAAACGATATTGTAATTCTTATTCACCTGGGAATTAGTTTCGTACATCTTAGTAAATGATGGTTTCCAGTAGAGTATGTTCAGCCATATAGTCTAATTTGAAATACATTCCAGACTTATGATACATATGTATATTTCAGATAATCATGAACAATTGCACTCGGAGTATTTTAAATAAGAACAAAAAATATAGATACAGAATATAAACGGACAAAATGGAAAACTTTCAGTAACGATGTAATAAATTTGATAGTTGGTACATTACTTACCTAGATGCAGTATGTATTGTCTATATTTATTAATGTTTCATCAAGTTTCAATATATACACGTAGTAAGCATTTTACATATCATCTATATCTATATAAACTTGATGGTATATAACTAATTGATATATTTTTTTTGTTATTTGTATTTTTACATTGTATTTGTGCTATGCAAAAAATATCAGAATACATATATTTTATACATATATACTAGTAATATTTCGTCATTTGGTCTCTGGTGGAGTGTTGTCTCATTAGCAATTATACAACATCTTCTTATTTTTAGGTTAACATTAGCGTTTTTGTATTGGATTTTGCCACACATTCTTGATAATTGACATTGCATATACGAGATACTAATATCTCTGATTGCATGAACTCCAAATGAGGCAGCCCATTATTATCAACTAAGGTTAGCTTAGCCTGATTGAAGGTAGAGACAAACATTTAACACCTTATATTTTTTTCTAAAAGCAGAACGTGTAGATTATTACACAGTTCTGGTGCTTGGTGGGATGCTGGTACAGAAAATACAACAGAGAGTAGGGATTAAAAAGGGAAATTTTTGTGCGTCCTTTGAAAACTGGTTTAAATAGCACATACCTTGTATTTAGCTTTTATGTCTATTGTATAAGAATATTTGCATTCCAGAATATAGGACACATGTAATATGCAACGTAATTGGTACCTTACCTTTTAACAGTTAACTTGGGTTGATACCACAAATGGACCATTTAGTCATCTTGCGTATGATATAAACGTCTGAAATCAGGGCTCACGTGTGTCTTAAATAATGCTTTTGCCGATTCAGGAGTACGTTTTGGATTTATAGTCCAACAGTATCGAAAACGACCAAATGGTATAATATACACTCCGCCATAAGTTAAGCACCACCCATAATTTTAATAATCGGAAATTTTTATATACAAAAATTAAATATTTTTGAATAAGAGCTAGTCAGTCGTATTGACATTGGTTGAATAAATTGTAAATCTTGTGCAATATACAAAAATATAATATACGGGTGTTTATGCTTTATGCTTTGTAAAGGGAACTTTAAATGTAACGTTAAAAACAACAAGTTGAAATCGCAATAAAAAGTTTTAATTTGTTTATCATTTTCACCAATTTCAAATTATGATATAATTTTCAACTTTCAGCCGGAAAAAAAATCAAGCATACATTTGCTGTGAATTGAGGTTTATAATGTCAATATCGTGTATAGCTTCCGCGTTTCCAGTAGAGATTCAATACACGTCTACTCATTCCTTGCACCAGTCGTCGTAGCTTATACTCTGAAAATCTTTGCCATCCCTGTACCAAAGCGACCCTCAATTCTGGTATTGATGCACATTTTGGTTGTCTTTGGTTAAGTTTACGGCCGATAGAGTCCCATACATGTTCAATGGGGTTCATATCAGGTGACATGGCCGGCCAAGGTAAAGTGTCAATTGATTCCGACGTCAGGTATGCGTTGACAATTGTCATCTTGAAAGACTGGTCTATCAGCTAACGCGTGATTATCAAAATGATACTATGGTGTTCAAGATTTCATCCCGGTATCTTTGTCCATTCAGGGTACCGTCGATAACACGCATATTAAGCTTATAGTAGTGGGAAAAACAACCCTATACTGTTACATCGCCGCCACCGAAAGCTGTTGTACCAAGAATGTTACTGTCTCGATTTGCGGTTTCTTTCCCTCCAAACACGTGTTCTGCAGTCGACGGGCTTTAGCAAGAAACGACTTTCATCGGACCAGTGAATAGTTCTCCATCTACGTTAAGTCCTCGACGATGGTTACTAGCCCACTGTAATCTTGCTCTGTGGTATCTTCAAAGTTAATTCTTGGCGCTTTATTGGCGTCCGAGCCCGTAGATGGAAACAATGCTACCTGCGTCTCACAGTCCTCACACTTACTCTAATCCCAATAGGCCAAGGTCTACGAAGCTGATCAGCCTGCTCTTGGACGGTCTTCAGCTGACGCAGTCTATCGGTATCTCTTCATGAGCCTGATAATCACAGCGTGGTTAACACCAAAATAGACTTCTATTCTACGGCAACACGGACCTGTATTTGCCAAACCTACAACTTACTAGCGTTCCGCAATGCTCAGTTTTCGTCTTGCCATCCTATTGTTTACTGTTTTAATAAATTGTATTTAAAAAAAAAACATTATTAAAAAAAAAATATATCGAAATAAAATTGGGTGGTGCTTAACTTATGGCGGAATGTATATAAATTTTTGATGTTGTATTACGCGTTTCTAAAATAGTCTACTACAGGCAATTGCCAAAAACATCAGGGCTGAATAGAAGTAAAATCGTATAGTGTATAAAAAATGCTTCCCCATAGAATCCAGTTACTGATTATAGTTTATAGTCTTTTACTTTTATAAAGACCTAATGCAGTATAATAACTATTCTGAAAGACTGGTAGGCGACTGTAAGCAAAGCAATTAACAATACATATTTGTGAATGATTTATCTGTTAATGAAACATACTTGAACAAACGTGGCCAATTTCACCCTAGCAACACTTATTCATTGACAAATCGAAGACTTTGATTCTTGATTGAATGAAAAAGTTGATGTAAGAGCATTACATCTAGTCCTGCCTTTTAGCTCAGTGATTGTAATGGACATTCTCAACTCTGCTCTATGGCGTGGAAGGAGTTGTGGTCATCGTCTTTGTACATTACTGGCAATTCATTAAGTTTTTTTTATGACCTATCATTTATACATAAGCAGCTGTATAGTATGCATCACACTCGCACGAAACTATAATCACTGCTCCTTTTTATACTGAATGCTTTATGCAACCAATGTTTGGAAACTGTTTATAATCTCTATTATAAAATATGTAATGTGCGCGTCAAACGTTGATTCTTAAAAACTTCTGCCAAGGCACATAAACTGTTTTTCCCTTTCCGAATACAAATACAAAAGTATTAAACACTTTACGTTTCCGTTCTTTATTTCTTCCTAATTGTAAAAATACAGTCGTATTGAAAGAATTAGTCTTTGTTCAACAACATAGAATTTTCACTTTAGATTCATATATGACCCCGTATGTCTTGCTTAAGGAGGCACAAATCAAGTCATTCTTTTAAAAAACACGTTTGATTCTTACAATAGGTAATCCGAAAGGGACGTCATTAATATCTTAGATTTTTTTTATTTCAAGTGTTTGTTATATTGCCGGGCGTGTTTGTTTTACAATTGGCAAATGGTATTCATTTTTTTCTTCTAACAAGCTATCGTTTTCTTATAACTTTGCGGTCCACTATGATAAATGATGTCCGTTCAGTGAATAATTTAAAGTTGGATGAATATGATTCGTATTGCATTTGAAATTTAAGATGCATCAGATATAGTTAGATCTGTTTCATATCTTCAAATCGAAAACTTTCCATTTTAATGTATCAACATTCCAGTAGCAGCTGCATATTGAGTCTAATTTGATACGATTTTCCAGAGTTAGTGGTTTCTATCTGGATTTCCTTGATAGAGGGATGCTACTTACAAGGAAACTATGTATTAATATTTCTTCGTGGTTAATCTGGACTAGGTTGACCGTTATGGAAATTCCGAGTCACAGATTGCATGTACCAAGTGTATGTTCCAATTGTCGCCACAATCCCGACTCCCTTTCCTCCTATATTTCTAATTATCTTCGATTTTTGACTCGCTTTGACGGAGTCAAAAAGCGAGACATAGGTATGCTGTTTCCGGCGTCGGCGTCAATAATGTATTAGTTTGTGATTAGGTCTAGTTTACGGTGAACCACTAGTGGTAGGTCAATGATATTTGGTATATGCAGTTGTATTAGCATTGGCACATATCATTTTCATGGAGATAATTTGGTCCCGCCCCCTCAGTCATAGTCTATTGACTTTGAAACTTTTGCTTAGTTTACATGTATTAGTTTGTGATTAGGTCAGTTTAAGGGGAACCATTAGTGGTAGTTCAATGATAATTGGTATGCAGTTATATAAGCATTAGCACATCTCATTACCATGGAGAATATTTGGTCCCTACCCCTCAGTCTTGGTCTATTGACTTTGGAACTTTTGCTTAGTTTACATGTATTAGTTTGTGATCAGATCAGTTTAAGATGAACCACTAATGTTAAGTCAATGATATTTGGTATGCAAATGAACAGCCATATGCAAATCTCATTTCCATGGAGATTATATAGCCCCACCCCCTCATCATGGTTCATTGACTTTGAAATTTTTACATAGTTTACAAGTTAATGTTTGTGTTTAGGTATGTTTAAAGGGAACGACTTATGATAAGTCAATGGTATTTGGTGTGCAGTTGTATTAGCATTGGCACATCTAATTTCCATGGAGATTGTTTAGCCCTGTACTTTCAGTCATGGTTTATTGACTTTTAATATTTGCATAACTTACATGTTAAAGTATTGCTATTTTGATTTCAACATTTGCTTTATCAAAATAAGAAAAAGGCGAGACATATCCCTGTGTTAACAGTTTATTTTAAATGGGCTATACGACAGGTTCCACTGATGAGCAGGACATGTTTTACAGTTCGAGAGAATGTTAGTTTTACGATAACTTTTCGCTCATTTTTTAGTTTTCTGTGATATGCTGTTCGTACTGGGTTTTTTTTTTGTCTATTGCCTTTTTCTTTTGGCCATGATGTTATATGTCCTTCTTTGACTTATTGGTTTTTTCTGTCTTTTTGTGAAATTTTCGAAAATATGCCCTTATAGTCAAATTAACGCTCAACCCTATGTGTGCGCATTTACATGCAATATGTGTTCAATGGGAATAAGAAACCCTTACATAAAAAAAAAATGTTTGACTATTGGATGAATTGACTTGGTCAATATACTGCAAAAAATATCAGAATACATATATTTTATACATATATACTAGTAATATTACGTCATTTGGTCTCTGGTGGAGTGTTGTCTCATTGGCAATTATACAACATCTTCTTATTTTTAGGTTAACATTAGCGTTTTTGTATTGGATTTTGCCACACATTCTTGATAATTGACATTGCATATACGAGATACTAATATCTCTGATTGCATGAACTCCAAATGAGGCAGCCCATTATTATCAACTAATGTTAGCTTAGCCTGATTGAAGGTAGAGACAAACATTTAACACCTTATATTTTTTTCTAAAAGCAGAACGTGTAGATTATTACACAGTTCTGGTGCTTGGTGG